TCGAAGCACTCTGCAGCCGACGTCAGAGGGGCGTTGTTTGTTCTCCCTCAACATGTTAAGAGCCCGATGCGACCTAGGCAAAAAGACGTCTTGTTCCCGGCCCCAAATCCTCAGAGCGGCGTTGTTAGTTCTCCTTCCACGCGTTAACAATCCCGTGTACCTCAAATTCAAAGTACTTGCAGCCGACGTCAGAGGGGCGTTGCGTTAAGAGACCCATACGACGTCTTTTTCCTGGCCCCAAACTTGAAGTACCCTTTCCTTCTACGTGTTAATTGCCCCATGCGACCTAGGCAAAAAAACGTCTTTTTCCTTACCCCAGATTCAAGGCACCTCAGAGCGGCGTTGTTTGTTCTCCTTCCACGCGTTAACACTCCCGTGTACCTCAAACTCAGAGTACTTGCAGCCGACGTCAGAAAGCGTTGCGTTAAGAGACCCATATGACCTGGGCAAAAAGACGTCTTTTCCTTATCCCAAATTCGAGGCACTCTGCAGCCAACGTCAGAGGGGCGTTGTTTGTTCTCCCTCAACACGTTAAGAGCCCGATGCGACCTAGGCAAAAAGACGTCTTGTTCCCGGCCCCAAATCCTCAGAGCGGCGTTGTTAGTTCTCCTTCCACGCGTTAACACTCCCGTGTACCTCAAATTCAAAGTCACGTCAGAGGGGCGTTGCGTTAAGAGACCCATACGACGTCTTTCTCCTGGCCCCAAACTTGAAGTACCCTTTCCTTCTACGTGTTAAGAGGCGCGGGTGACCTAAGCAAAAAAAGGCGTTTTCCTCACCCCAGATTCAGCGCACCTCAGGGCGGCTTTGTTTGTTCTCCTTCCACGCGTTAACAATCCCGTGTACCTCAAATTCAAAGTACTTGCAGCCGACGTCAAAGGGGCGTTGCGTTAAGAGACCCATAAGAAGTCTTTTTTCCTGACCCCAAACTTGAGGTACCCCTTCCTTCCACGTCTTAATTGCCCCATGTGACCTAGGCAATAAAACGTGTTTTTCCTTACCCCGGATTCAAGGCACCTCAGAGCGGCGTTGTTTGTTCTCCTTCCACGCGTTAACACTCCCGTGCACCTAAAACTCAAAGTACTTGCAGCCGACGTCAGAAAGCGTTGCGTGAAAGAGACCCATATGACCTAGGCAAAAAGACGTCTTTTCCTTACCCCAAATTCGAGGCACTCTGCAGCCAACGTCAGAGAGGCGTTGTTTGCCTTTTTTTGCCTAGGTCACCCGCGGCTCTTAACACGTAGAAGGAAAGGGTACTTCAAGTTTGGGGCCAGGAAAAAGGCGTCGTATGGCTCTCTTATCGCAACGCCCCTCTGACGTCACTTTGAATTTGAGGTACACGGGAGTGTTAACGCGTGGAAGGAGAACTAACAACGCCGCTCTGAGGATTTGGGGCCGGGAACAAGACGTCTTTTTGCCTAGGTCGCATCGGGCTCTTAACGTGTTGAGGGAGAACAAGCAACGCCCCTCTGACGTCGGCTGCAGAGTGCTTCGAATTTGGGGTCGGGAACAAGACGTCTTTTTGCCTAGATCGCATCGGGCTCTTAACGTGTTGAGGGAGAACGTTTTCCTTACCCCAGATTCAAGGCACCTCAGGGCGGCTTTGTTTGTTCTCCTTCCACGCGTTAACAATCCCGTGTACCTCAAATTCAAAGTACTTGCAGCCGACGTCAGAGGGGCGTTGCGTTAAGAGACCCATAAGAAGTCTTTTTCCTGACCCCAAACTTGAGGTACCCTTTCCTTCCACGTGTTAAGAGCCCTGTGTGACCTAGGCAAAAAAAGAGCGTTGTCCTTACCCCAGATTCAAGGCACCTCCGAGCGGCGTTGTTTGTTCTCCTTCCACGCGTTAACAATCCCGTGCGCCTCAAATTCAAAGTACTTGCAGCCGACATCAGAAGCGTTGCGTTAAGAGACCCATATGACCTAGGCAAAAAGACGTCTTTTTCCTTACCCCAAATTCGAGGCACTCTGCAGCCGACGTCAGAGGGGCGTTGCTTGTTCTCCCTCAACACGTTAAGAGCCCGACGCGACCTAGGCAAAAAGACGTCTTGTTCCCGGCCCCAAATTCGAAGCACTCTGCAGCCGACGTCAGAGGGGCGTTGTTTGTTCTCCCTCAACACGTTAAGAGCCCGATGCGACCTAGGCAAAAAGACGTCTTGTTCCCGGCCCCAAATCCTCAGAGCGGCGTTGTTAGTTCTCCTTCCACGCATTAACACTCCCGTGTACCTCAAATTCAAAGCGACGTCAGAGGGGCGTTGCGATAAGAGACCCATACGACGTCTTTTTCCTGGCCCCAAACTTGAAGTACCCTTTCCTTCTACGCGTTAAGAGCCGCGGGTGACCTAGGCAAAAAACGGCGTTTTTCTTACCCCAGATTCAAGGCACCTCAGGGCGGCTTTGTTTGTTCTCCTTCCACGCGTTAACAATCCCGTGTACCTCAAATTCAAAGTACTTGCAGCCGACGTCAGAGGGGCGTTGCGTTAAGAGACCCATAAGAAGTCTTTTTCCTGACCCCAAACTTGAGGTACCCTTTCCTTCCACGTGTTAAGAGCCCTGTGTGACATAGGCAAAAAAAAGGCGTTGTCCTTACCCCAGATTCAAGGCACCTCCGAGCGGCGTTGTTTGTTCTCCTTCCACGCGTTAACAATCCCGTGCGCCTCGAATTCAAAGTACTTGCAGCCGACGTCAGAACGCGTTGCGTTAAGAGACCCATATGACCTAGGCAAAAAGACGTCTTTTTCCTTACCCCAAATTCGAGGCACTCTGCAGCCGACGTCAGAGGGGCGTTGCTTGTTCTTCCTCAACACGTTAAGAGCCCGATGCGACCTAGGCAAAAAGACGTCTTGTTCCCGGCCCCAAATTCGAGAAACCCTGCAGCCAACGTCAGAGGGGCGTTGTTTGCGTTCTCCTTCCACGCGCTAAGAGCCCCACTTGACCTTAAGCAAAAAAATCTTTTCCCTATTCCAAATTCAAGGCACCGTGCAGCCGACGTCAGAGGGGCATTGTTTGTTATTCCACGCGTTAAGAGCCAGCGAGCTGACTTTGTGCAGCGCTGGTCAGGCAATTGTCCCTTGAGCCAGTGCTGACTCCAGGCCAGTCTATTAACAGGGGACTGTCGGCGGATCGCGTAGCAATTGCAATCACCAAGTCCAAAACCCAGGTGTTCCAACGTGCAAGTAACCAGACAACCACAGGGAAACAGAAAACCAGAAAAGGGATGCCCGTGGCCTATGCTGACGATGAGTCTCTTCCTCCTCCGACACGTAGCTGTTCGACGTGAGACCGAGGCGGATGAAAATTTGAACCCGAATGTCATCAGTTAGTCGCTAGCGCAACGTAAGTGACACCTGTAACACATGGCTAATCACAGAAGGAAAGAATGAAAGCAAGAAAGAAAGAAAGAAAGAAAGAAAGAAGGAAGGAAAGGGAGAAAAGAAGGAACAACAGAAAGAAAGAAAAAAAGAAAACAAGAAGAAAGGAAGGGAGGGAGGGAGGGAGGGAGGGAGGAAGGAAGGAAGGAAGGAAGGAAAGAAAAAAAAGAAAGAAAGAAAGAAACAAATAAGGCAGGAAGGAAGGAAGGAAAGAAAGGAAGAAAAAAGGATGAAAACAAGAAACAAGCGTGCGGAAACAGCTGCAGACAACAAACAAGCGAGCAATGAGAAAGCAAAGTAAGAGAGAAAAACAAAGAAAACAACAAGCAAACACACAAGCGTGCAGAAACAGCAAACTACAAACATGCGAGCAAGAAAGCAAGCAAGGAGACAAGCAAGCAAACGCGCGAAAGAACCAAAGGAAGAAAGAAAGAAAGAAAGAAAAGAAAAGACAAGAAAAACGAAACAAACCAACAAGTCAGCAAGCAAGCGAGCGAGCAAGCGAGCAAGCAAGCAAGACAGAAACAATGGAAAAAAGTAAGGGAAAAGCAGGAAAAAGAAAGAAACAAACAAAACACCATGCACCAACAACACACAACAAGAAAGCAGTCAGAACAAAACAAAACAAACAAACACACAAACTAGCCTACAGAAACAGCAATCTACGAACAAGCGAGCAAACAAGCAAGCAAGCACGCAAGCAAGCAAGCAGCAAGCAAGCACACGACGGAAAGAAACAATGAAGGAAAAAAAGAAAGAAGCAAGCAAGCAAACAAACAAACAAACAAGCATGCAAAACAGCAAACTACAGACAAGCAGGAAAGCAAGCAAGCAAGAAGTCACAAAAAAAGCAAAGAAAGAAAAAGAACGAAAGAAAGACAGAAAGAAAGGAAAACAGAAGAAAGAACAACAATGCATGCAGAAACGGAAACTACAAACAAGCGAACAGGCAAGCAAGCAATCGCAAAAAAGAGGCGGAAAAACGAAAAACAAAAACACAAACAAACATGCATGCAGAACTGCCAACTACAAACAAGCAAGCAAGCAAGCAAACAAGCAAACAAGCAAACAAGCGAAAGAAAGAAAACAAGAAAGAAAACAAGAAAGAAAGAAAGAAAGAAAGAAAGAAAGAAAGAAATAAAGAAAGAAACAAAGAAATAGAGAAAGAAAGCAATAAAGCAAGAAAATCACAAACAAGCATGCAATAACACCACAAAACAAGCAAGGAAGCAAACAAAAAAGAAAGAAAGAAAGAAAGAAAGAAAGAAAGAAAGAAAGAAAGACAGAAACAGCGAGAAACAAAAGAAAGAAACAAGGAAACAATCAATCGTGCAAGAGCAACACGCAGGCAAGCAAGCAAGCAAGCAAGCAAGCAAACATACAAACAAACAAGAATCAAGCACAAATCGACAAGCATATGCGGAAACAGCAAACTACAAACAAGCAGACAACCAAGCAAACGAAAGAAAGAAATAAAGACGGAGAGGAAGAAAGCAAGCAAACCAAAGAAGGAAAGAAAGAAAAAACAATGGCGCGTGCCAGCCAGCCAATCCAACACAGCCAGCCAGCCAGCCAGCCAGCCAGCCGCCCAACTCACACAAACACCCTCGCCCGCCCCAGCCCTTGAGCCTTGGCGGCCTGCGGTTGGCGTAGTTCGTCGGCCCAAGGCACCGGCAGCTCGCCCACAGGGCGCCACACCTGCTCCACGGTGACACGGGATAGAATTGGACGTGTGTGTGTAGATGTATACCACAAATACAAATATATAGATATGCTTGGCCCCCCCCTGAGAGTTCTACTTACACGCTATACATCCTAGAGCTCTGCCATCACAAGCTCCGCTGGTGCAGAAATGTCCCACCCTTCCCCCCTTCCTGCAAGGCCAGGGATGTCGGGGGTGTTTTGGGATTTGAGCTGGCCGGTGTCCGGGTGTGAGACTATATGCGCAAGACTTGTGCTGTTGTTGCACAAGTTTGTTGAGTAACAACCGCAAAGAGTTTAAACACTTTTGGGAAGTTTATGAACCATGTCGAGGGTTTGAGGGTTTCCCTGCAACAAGGCAAAAGCTTGGGGAGGCGGTCGAGAAGTCAAGGGGGTCGAAGGGCGGAGGCGGGGGAGGGGTTGAGAAATTTGCAAAGTTGGTTGCGTCACACCTTACTGCTAAGCCCCTCCCCCCTCCCCACCACGAAGACCGCCCGCGCCCTTCAACGACACCACGAAGACTTGCCAGGGTGTTGCCTTGTTGCGGGAAACCGCCCAGCACTCAAGCAGGTTTAAAAACTTTCTTGGTAGTCTGAAATTCTCGGTAGTTTATAAACCCTATGCAGGCTTGTTGCAAGTGGTGACCGGAATAAACGTGCGCTCATGTAAGGCATTGTTGATGCGGTTTTGGCATGCGGTCCCAAGATGGTTGACGGATGCGTGTGTGTGCCATCAGTGCCGCACTGTTATGCCAACGGTCAAGAAAGTTACCTCCTGGGGGGCCTGCGTTTTAGTGTTTGTCTGTGGTTGTGACTCACTCTTCCTGTTGCTGTCTGCAGAGTTGCATTTTTGAGAGTTCACACCTTCTTTGTGGTCAGACTCACAAATGCGACAAGCCCAGGCCCCAAGAAACTCGAGACTTTCCACCCTACAAAACAACCCAGCGCTCTTCAACCCTTGGCCTGCCCAACCCCCGATAATTGCGTTTTACTCCCCAGACAATGTTTACACTAAGGAGTTGTTACGGTAAGAGTTAAAGCTGGGTTAGGTTGAGGCTTCGCGCTCAAAGTGTTGGCCCTGTGCGAAGAGAGTTGTCTTCGATGCGAGGGTCTCGCGCAAAATTGGGGCTCGTGCTGGAGGTGAGCTCTCGCTGTGGCGCCATGAGCTTTTTTCGTCTCTCACAACAGTTGTGGGTTCGCGACTTGTTTGTCAGGAAGCCTCGCGCCAACCGCGTTTCTTGAAGCAAAGTGCATAGTTGATGGCAGGGGCCCGGCCCACGGAGGTTTGCGCTACGACGGTGGGTGTGCTTTTTGAGGAAGTCTCGTGGGAAACGTGCTTTTTGAGAGCAAGGTGCGTTTTTGACAGCAGGGCCGCTTCGCATGGATCTTCTCGCCGGGTGAGGCTACGACGCTTGAACATGGACAGGGCAGCATTCTGTGAGACTGGTATGCGTTTTTCGTGGTGGGCGCAGTATATTTTACGCTGATGCTACAGGTTGCGTGGCTCGCGTAGCATGTTCAGAAATGGAGCACTTCACTTGCTCTCGGCGAGCCTCTGCTGCGAGCATGCGCGTCGAAGCGCTCTGGCTGTGGAGCCATGCGGGTCGCGGCGAAGCCTGTGAAGAGATCGTGCACGTCGAGGCGGTCTAGCTATGACGCCGTACATTTTGGCTGCTTCCTTTGCTTGCGAGGTTGTCTTTGGAAGTTGTCTCATTGTGTACGCGCCTGCTTTCGCAATCGCGCGGTCGCGCTTGACAATCAAAACTTTAAAGTACAAAAGTAGGACGCGAAACGCATTCCTGCAGCTCCGGCTGAAAAATCCTAAGTTTCAAACGCGCAGTAGTACGCGAAGAGCCTTCGCGCAGCTTCGGATTGAAAATCGCAACTTTTGAGTACAACTGTGGCACGCGAAGCGCGCTCGGGCACCTTAAGCTCAAACTTCGCAACTTTTGAATATGCAAATCGCACTCCCGCGGCTCCGGCTGCAAAAAGGCAAGTTTCTACGTGCAAAAGTTGCGCGCGACACGCGCTCGAAGAGCGTGCTCTCGCGTCTCCAGCTCAAGAATCGCAACTTTAAAATGCACAGCAGCATGAGAATTACACTTCCGCCTCTCCAGCTGGAAAATCGCCAAAGTAGCGAGCGAAGTATGCTTCCGCAGGTAAACCCGCCCGCCTTCTTGCGCAGCCAAGCTCCGCATACATTGGGACAAGAGTGTTGACAAGTATCAGGGCAACATCATGCACAGCGCCGAGCGCCGCATCATGCGCAACATCATTCATGCGCCGCGTCATGCGCAACATCACGCGCAGCATCACGCGCAGCTTCAGCGCAGCCTCAACTCAGAGCATCGCGCGCAAGAGAAGTTGACAGGAGAGATTGCGCAGCATGACGCTAAGCTCGCTCGTCAGAACTTGAAGAAGCTTTGCGCTTTGTTGCTCGTTAACGTGTTTCTATGCTTCCAGGCCACTCGTCGTCAAGCTCAGCCACAATCAGAACTCTTTGGGGTGTCTTGCCTGGGTAGTTTTTGTTTTGGGACCGTGATGAGTTTTTGGGTCTGAGCTTGTCAGTTTTGGTCATGCAGACCTCTGCTAGAAACAGCCTTACCAGGAACATCCAATAGTCCCTACACAGGGACGTCGTTGGACCCTCTTGAAACAGATCCAGGGACCACAACGATCCTCCTTGAGAAACAAGCACCCCCGGTATGGGACTCAATTGTTGTAGCGGAGCGGGTTTTTCAAGAAAATCCAATCAAGATGTCATCCGATGGAGAAGGCTTCATGGATGTCCATTCCAGCGCAGGCCGAACAATCGGCATGCTTGGAGAGACCCTCAATGTATTGATGACCGCCAAACAGCCGCCATCGTACGACAAAAAGTCAGCTGGTTCAGGTGTGAGGAGCTTGTGGACTTTTGGACGACCCATCATGATTGAAGCGTTCGAGAAAGAACCAGAGAACCTCCCTCAAGAGCAGAATCATGGGAGATGCTTACATGTGCAAGGAAGTCAACAGATTACTTGAAAACGACCAACGTGTATTTGTGCCGACTTCTCAGCTTCTTCAACCATCGCCGACAGCACTTGGAGTTCCTCGTTCTCACAACCGCATGTGATATCCTTTCAGGAGGCTGAAGGCACCCTGGCCTGACCTGATGGCCGTTGATTTGTGTCACCAGAGCTTCTTGCATCAGTCCAAGAAGCACACCAAAGAAGAAGCGTCCAGCATCAGCGAGCTCGCTGCCGGTGCCAGGGCACCGCCTCCAGGTCTATGACCCAGAAGTACTGAGACAGTACATTTACGGCGCGCAGTCAAGACACAGGGACGCATCCACAGAAAGACTGATCAGCGCAATGTCTTGCGGAACATCTCGCCCAACCACTACTCTTATGAGATGCTGAAGACACAGTATCACGATCTCTTCATCACGACCAGAACATCCATTCAAGATCCATCCATCCGACCTCAAGAACACAACCACAGCAATCTACACCCTGGCCTTTGGAAAGGGGAGAAGGCTTTCGGGTGGAGACATTCTTGGTTCTGGTGGGGAGAATGACGCATTCATGACAAGAAAAGTGCCTGGACGGAATTTAAGATTTGGAAAGAGAGAAGGCAAAGGAACATCAAGAAGCAAAAGGGCAGTCAACGACGAGCTGGCTTCAAACCCTTTCGCAAGAGCGCCTCTGGCGGGAAGGCCGACATGGCCAACGAAAACCCCTGGAATAACTTTCGATTCCTAATGAAACAGCTTTTTTCAATAAAAACTAAGTGATTTTAAGAGCTCTAAATCAATACCAAAGCCCCCTTCAAAATCAATAAAAAAAAGCTCAAAAAAACAAAGAAAAGCAATAACAAAATCAATAAAAACCATAGCTGTGTTACTTGCCAAGTCATATGCCAAATGAATAAGCAGTGACAGATATGCACCGCTACCCTAAGGCTGCAAAAGTCTTAAGTCAAGAAAGACAAATGTTTACGTAAACGGAAGAAAGTACGAAAATAGTTGTTCAACAAGGGCTAAATAATTACATTTCTAGTTTGCTCCAATAATCATGGCCAAATTTGGTTGTGGTGGAAAATGAAAAGTCCCACGCACGCGCGCCGAAGCAAGGACCGTAAAATGGTTTTCCAAACTTTTCATTTACCACTACTGTCTTACCGTTAAAATGTTTTTCCAAAAAGTTTAAAGTCCAGGAATCAGGGAGTGAAGTTCTTTTAATAGCGGCGGTGTTCCCTCTAAAAACTGTCTGAATCCCCACTAAAGGGGGACAGTTCCCAATCAAAATCAACCAGGGGCTTAACTTCATCTGCGGTTCCCATTACCTCCCTGTCCACTAACATGGAACCCACCAGAGGGCCCCTCCTGGTTGCTAACATGTCTTTGTTTGTTGCGTGTTTTTGGTTTTGGGGCTTACTTAGGGTTTGTTGGGAATGTCTATCTGGGATATGGTTGCTGACATGTTGATTGTTTGGTTTGTGGAATGCGTTTTTTGTTTGAATTCTTGGGCTTTTGGACAATGTGCATGTAGTGATGGGTTGTTTGGATGGTTGCTGACTTTTTATGTTGTGTTTGTTTGTCTTTTGGACTTCTCGGTGTTTGGGGAATGTTGCACTTACTGAGGTTGTTTTTGACTTTTCATCTGGGGCGTGGTTGCTGACGTGTTTGGTACTTTTTTTGCTTGAATTCTAGAAATCCAGCACCATCCACCCTGGCCAAGGGACCAATTAGAAGCCAACAGCCCCTATGTTTTTTTTCTGGTTCATCATGTTTGCTGGAAAAGACCCATGCCACCAAACGCAAGGCAAATGCAATGAAGATAACAAAGTTCCCTTGAGAAAATGGAACAACCAAGGTGATGAAGTGTTCTGTGAAAATAACTACGATTTTTACCAGGCGGCGCCTGCAAAAATGCAAAGGAAGTCAATCAAAAACAAGTGAAGGGGCCCAGAAACGGTTGAGAAAAAAGGTTGAGACAAAACAAGTTGGGAACAAGT